AGCATGCATGTAGTACAGCTCAATCGGATGGAGTTGGTGTGAACATATTATTATTTACGATCGAGTAGCTTATTAGTTCAATGTACAGCTAATCAAAGCCGTGTCATGCTCCATGATTTCTTGACAATAAAAAGTCCCCTAACACAAAGAACGCTAATATTGTCAACTTGGGGAATTAATTTCTTCTTCTTTCAATTATTATTATTATTATTATTATTATTATTATTACTCATATTATTATTATTTTAATTGTGGGGCGGATTCAGAAATTCAGATTAGATGGGAATGACAAATTAATTGTACTGCATCTAAACATAAGTTGGGCGGGGTAAATTTTAGAAATAAAAAATTTACATTAAATTCGAAAAACTTAAATTGTTCAGCTCTTCGACCCAATGTGCTGTAGATCCTCCAATTATCGGAGTTTCTTATTCTTCTGCTTCGTATATTTTATAAATATCACGCTTCTAGTGTCATTATATCATTTTATATGTAGCATGAGAGATAGACACATAAATTTTAGGTGGTTGCTACGGTGCCCATATTGTATTTTAGGTACAGTACCCTGGTTATGTGGCCAAATAAAAAATTCACACGTGGATAAGCAATAAAGTGACCCTACGTTCAATTCAAGAAAAAATATTTGCACTTCAGTCCTTGTTGTGAGACAGGAATGTTAAACAATAACGGAGGTTTTTTTAACCGTTTCCTGCTCTCTACCAAAACCAGAAGTCCTGTCCTTCCGGGTTGCCTACTATCCACCGCAACCAGAGGACGGCTCTTCTCTCCATCGCAACCGACGACACATAATCGCGGAAGAGCTCGAGTAACTTCGACGCTTCAGTTGAGATTAGCGGCAACGGCGGCTTCAGTCCAGGGAGCGAAGGAAACCTAGCTGCCGGAGCATAATCGCGGAAGAGGAACATAGCCGCCCAATCAATTGAAATTTTCGTGCATTTGAATGTTTCTCTTGAGCATATTCTAACAAATTCGGTATGTACTTGGTTTATTCATCACATCTAATTTAGGGATTTCCTTGATAAACATGTACTACAATTTTCTTACAAGCTCTTGTTCTAAGACCTTATTTGGCCAAATAAGCTTTTGATTTCTCTTTCAAATAAGCATTTTTTATGCTTCTGGTTTTGCTTCTTTTCTGTTTTTGCAGCAGGATTTTCTTTTTATTTTGTTTTTTCTTGAAGCTATACTAACACAGCAGTATGTGTCGTAGGTTATCTAAATTCGTCATACAAAGTTTTTGAGTAAGCATATAATAGTGAATGGATGAAAGTAGTTGAGATAATTTTTATACAAAGTTTGATTTTTTGTTGTCTATGCCTAAAACGTATTGTTCTGGGATTCGAGATGCATCATTTTAGCTCAATTTTTGGATGGACTGTGGTTGCAAAGTGCTCAAAATTTTGCTACTTTTATTATCTATATGTTGTACTGATCCACTGATGTCAGGCTTGCTAATAACCAGTTGTTATCATCATCTACTTAGCCATCTTCATTTATTTTCTCTCCGGTTAAGGGAGCTGGCAGGTCTGGTTTTACATAGAAGCATGTTTTTATATTGACAATTCTATTAGTATAAAACAATACCAATAGAAGAAAAAACAATACAACAACGGAGAAACATGTTTTTATATTGACAATTCTATTAGTATAAAAATAATACCAATATAACAACGTACCAATCCATCATACTAATTACAATGGTTATATGACATCCAATTGGCAATTTTATCCTCAATATCCGGCTCAGCTTGCTACAATGTTTCATGCACAATTTTATCCTAAAAAGAAGACTAGTTAGTTATTAGTTAGCCGTGTTGTTACTAATAACTACCTTTTGTTTAGAAGGATATAAATAGAATAATTCCTGCAGAGGGAAGGCAGACAGGCTGTATTGACGTTTTCTATGGGATTGGGAAGTTGGAGTTCTATCTCCTTCTTTGGGACTGTTTACAGTTTTCTTGTTGAATAAGATTTCCTTTACTGAGCTTGAGTTCTTGCTTTGTGTGATTCTATCTTGTTATTGTTATTGTGTTTGTTCTGCAGCTGAGAGGTATCCATCAACACATTTCCACATTTAGTCTGGAGTATTTTTTGTTGCCGACTTTACTTGTAACTGTATTTGTATTTCTGTAATTATTGCAAGTTTAGCATGTCATTTCATTCATTCTCCAGGATATGTTGATTCCACACCTAGAAGATTATGAAGACAGGTGTAGCATTACTGAGATTGTTGACATTTTTAAATTTGATGATTTGGCTTCCAATTATACCACTGATGTTCTGACTTCTATGAGAAACTTCTTCGGGAGTATATAAAGGCTCGATCTTGATGAGTTCAGTGGCTGGGAATGGAGTGGGTAGGTTGTAGTAGCTTTAGCTTGAGAATACATGAGTTATTACATATCAGTAGCCTTTGTCCATGTACTTGTTTTGTTGTACTGCTTTGTAGCAGTAATGTGGTGTAGTAGTAATGTGAGATGAGTTATGGGTCTTTTTGGGAATTATATTCGATGACAGGGATGGACAATACAATTCACATTGTTGATTGAGGCAGAAGAAAACCACATGCGATTTCGTATTGTGAATTTTGTTTATCATATATATTGGTTTAGTATTATCAATAATAATACTCCGTGGTAATAATAATTTTTATTAATAATAAAAATTTAACAAAAAGCAAAATTTAATAGCTGCTCGGAAAGGTCACGTTGTCGGTCGTTTCTTGTCATCGTGCTCGTTGTGGGTAGATTTAGTAGCTGTTTGGGAGAGTTTTTTGGAAACTTTTAGTTCAGTTTCCCACAGACGGCGCCAGTGTTGAGGTTTATTCCTTCAACCCCCGGGTCCAACACGTAAGCCCAAGGATTTCGAATGGAGTGTGTGTGAGTAAACTAGCCCAACAAGCAGATGATATGGATTAAAGATAACAAGAGGTAGCAAGTAAGTGATTAGGTATTATTATCTCTTAATAACTCCCTAATACAATACTTTTCGCTAAGGCTCCGTCGGCCGTTCGTCTTACACGGCAGTAGAAGTGCTGCGAGTAAGAATGCTATAGCTAGTGCTAAGAATAGAAAGTTGCCAACCCTTTACAATGAAATAAATGCTTCTATTTATACCCGCCAATGGTCAGGTGGCTATGCTGACGTGGAGGCCTGTGGACCGCTGGTGTCCCAACCACCAAATCTTTAGCATTAAATGCACTTCCCGCCAGAATCTAGGTTTCCCGCCTGAATAGTGGGGACGTTCGTCCGTCCGGGAAGCGAACTGGATCGCTCCAAGTGACCCTCAAGAGGCTTCGGATATTCGTCTCCTAGCCTTGATGGATTCTCACCATGTGGACTGGATTTCCTCCGATGACTATGGGCCTGCTCAGGAGACGCTCGTCGCCATCCCTTATGGCCCGTGGTCCTGCTCCTTGTCCCCGCACAGACGTCCGTCGCGATGGGCCATTGAGCCCAAAAGCCCTCAACACAAGACGTTCGTCTCTTTCCAAGGAACATGGGCCTGCGGCTAGCCTTGTGTTCTAACTGGTCGTGCGTCTGGTAAAAAGGGGTTAATGGGCCGGACCTCGGCTTGGGCCATTAACCCAACAAATAATAATAATAATAATAATAATAATAATAATAATAATAATAATAATAATAATAATAATAATAATAATAATAATAATAATAATAATAATAATAATAATAATAATAATAATAATAATAATAATAATAATAATAATAATAATAATAATAATAATAATAATAATAATAATAATAATAATAATAATAATAATAATAATAATAATAATAATAATAATAATAATAATAATAATAATAATAATAATAATAATAATAATAATAATAATAATAATAATAATAATAATAATAATAATAATAATAATAATAATAATAATAATAATAATAATAATAATAATAATAATAATAATAATAATAATAATAATAATAATAATAATAATAATAATAATAATAATAATAATAATAATAATAATAATAATAATAATAATAATAATAATAATAATAATAATAATAATAATAATAATAATAATAATAATAATAATAATAATAATAATAATAATAATAATAATAATAATAATAATAATAATAATAATAATAATAATAATAATAATAATAATAATAATAATAATAATAATAATAATAATAATAATAATAATAATAATAATAATAATAATAATAATAATAATAATAATAATAATAATAATAATAATAATAATAATAATAATAATAATAATAATAATAATAATAATAATAATAATAATAATAATAATAATAATAATAATAATAATAATAATAATAATAATAATAATAATAATAATAATAATAATAATAATAATAATAATAATAATAATAATAATAATAATAATAATAATAATAATAATAATAATAATAATAATAATAATAATAATAATAATAATAATAATAATAATTGATTATTAAATGAAAATTAAATGAGGTTTCTTTAAAAAATGCTAAAAATTGATTATCATAAAAATGATAAAAAATAGTTTATGGAATTAAAAAATATAAAAATATGTAAATATTAAAAGATGGAAAAACTAATACAATTTTCAAAATTAAAATTTTGTACTCCCCCCTTTCTCTAATACATGTCTCTCTTTCCATTTTGGGATGTTCTCTAATACATGTCTCCCTTTCCATTTTTAGAAAGTTTTTTCAATAAATATACCTATATACCCTCGATCTATTTCTCACTTTTTCATTCTCTTTCCTACTTTTTCCTTTACACACAACTCACTACACCTTTTATCCTATCCCTATTAATTTCTTCTTAAATCTTGTGCCAAAGGCTATACTCCCATCTATTAGAGAACGGAGGGAGTAACATCTAAGATGTTATAAATATATCAATAACAAAAAAATACATACTACATAAAAATAAAGGAACCCACAAATTAATTAATATTTTTTATGAAGGGGGCATAGACTGATATCACATCATTGGGTTAAAATAACAATAGAACACAAATTAATTATTTATTAAAAAGTAGAAATAATATATTTTTCCTAAAAATGCATCCTACGTATCCTAAAGAGATCTACAACTACAGTTAGGCTACAATTATACAACTACAATTAGGCAACTTTAAACCCCAAATCTTTACAAAGCCAACGTACGACACATTAGTGTGTGAATATAATAACAACGCCCTACAACAAACTCTAACCCCTACGCCAAAGTACCAAACTCTTCATCAAACTCGGTGTCTTCTTTCCGCACTTCTACGGAGTTTTTTCTGTACTTCAGTCCAGTCCAATGGCTGCAAATGGAAAAGGTGAATTAGCCAAACATGCAAGGACAATAAACTTAGATGAGGATTCTTGCACATCACCCTTCAAGGGGCACTGTTAAAGAAATCTCTTGATCACATGCTTAATTTTATTATTGATGGAACTAATTAAAACATAAATTAGACTATTAGAATTAGTTCTCATCGTTATTTTGATTGATTAGTTACAATTTCTTATATTGCTCCTCAGTTATGTTAGACTTTTTTAGTTACAATTTTGTGAATTCTATGTGATGGAAGCTTTGATACACTTGTTATTCTATATTAATTATTGTTATATTTCAGTTTTTCTATTCATTGTAAACTGACAGTACTCTTTGCAATGCACATGAACATGAGAATGTTTGTTAAAGGTTTAATTAGCATTTCTAGGAGAACACAGAAGCCTGGAACTCCGAAGCTTTGAATCCTTCTATAGAAAGTTGTCGCCTTGTTCAATCTGTGTGTATAGTCTCTCAAAATATCTATATCCAGCCTTTCTCCTACTCTCTGTTCCGTCTTTGCTTCGTCTCAGAATCCATCTATTGCGCAAATACTCCTCTATGCTCTTCAAAGTTGTCGCCTTACTCCTCTATGTCAAGTGTTTTATTTTGTTATGTCTTCACATTGTGTTGTTGTTATTATCATTTTGGTACAACTTTTTTACAGTGTACACCTCTTATCATTCCTTAATCCCACCCTCATTTTTCAGTGTATAAACTAAGCTTATCATTTTAACTTGTCTGTGGTCCTTTTCCACTCAATTGCATCAAATAATAGCATTTGCTTGTTAAAACATGACTTTTTAGACAAAGGGGGAAGACAATTCAATCACAAAAACATGATGTTAGAAATATGAGAGTAGAACCAAAATGTACCTGTATTCGATATGCACCGTAGTAACTCCAGACCCTTGAGTCTACATACTCCCATGGTAGGTGATTTCTGTTCCCAGTTCTTTCTGCAAATTAGCCAGAGTTGGGAACTATAAATATGAAATATTGTCTTCTCAACCTACATAGCAAACATGAGAGTAGATTACATAAAGCTGAATTGGTAATTGTTGGGTCCTCAGAAACATGAACACATATTGCAGAAAATAATAATGATATGCATCTGTAAAAAGACCAAATGCATATAGGAGGTCCTCTGATCCTAAAAGTCAACATAAATAAAGAAGTTATCAATATCTAACATGTAACTTTGGACCAGTTAGTTAAACACAAGAGATTCTTTGTAGGGATATGAATACTACAATTTATTACTAAATACTTCAGGGAGAAGAGCTCACCAGTGTTTTTGAAGTCTTCAAATAGATTTGGGCTTTAGCATGAATAACAACGGTTCATGATACAAAAGGGTAATTCCATACCTGATGAAACGATTGCCAGTAATATTATCAATAAATACTACGTACATCAATAAATTATCAAGACATGAGCCTTACCGTCTCTTGGATTAGCCCTAGAAAATCTTCAAAATCAAGCAGACCATGCACAGAAGAATGAAGATATCTACCTGCTGGTGTATTATTTTAGGGACTAGCAAGCTGCCATGGCTGCATTTTTTCAACAGCTTGGTGTTTATTTTAGATGGCTCTCCACTAAATTTAACACCTTCCACTTCTACAACACCCGTGAAGATAGGTAGATGTCCTAGACCTGTTCTGCAAGTCGTTTACGCCGGCTAGGATGCCCCTACTATGAGAAACCTCAAGCAAGAGAATTTTGTATGTTAAGAGTCTCATCTTGAACATCACGTGCATTAAAGTCATTAGAACAGAAAAATAGAAAAGCTAGGATACTATATGTATGTATCAATTGCGATTTCATAGAAGCTGCATCTTCAAAGGCTGTATAATAAAACTATATAAAATGTATTGGTAATGCAATTATACACAACAAGATATGTTGATAGGAACACGCAGATCTGACCAGAAATTGTTGAATATGAAAAATGAAATTGAAGAAACTGAAAGTGACGATACAGATGAGGCAAATTCGAGAGTGCCTCGTCTCTCCCAAAGTCCCAGTCCAATCCAAAATCTCCCTAACTCTTCTACTCCCCCAATCTCCTATTTATTCTTTTCCATTTGGGCTAGCCCAGTACTATCTAATCCAGGCCCAAAGCCCTTTTATTGTACATTATTAAAAGACTGGTATTATTCTTATTACTAGTACTATATAGGTCTCTATCATACTCCCCCCTTTGACAACCACCTTGCCCTCAAGGTGGGAAGTAAGAATCAGTCATGCTGTGCCGCTTCATCCTCGCGCCTCTCCCTTCCCAGTACCTCCTTGATTTCTGGTCTAGGAGCTTCACTTCTTGAATCTTCTTCCACATGTACTTCACAACAGGAAGAAACAGAAGCAATGACATGGTGGTATGATGCACCAGGGTGTTGTAAACTGATTTTAGGTTAGCTCCTTCAAGAATGAGGTCGCTCTTAAAAATATCACTTTAAAAGTTTTAAATATACAACTCCATTACAGTAGTTTATTCATGTCTGAAATGATCACTATCATGGTGATTTAGTGTACAACCTTCACCCTCACAATGACCAATTCTGAATCATAAACATTACAAATTAAACCATGAGAATGATGAAATTGAAAGGGTCATAATGACATACTAAGTCTCAACAATAAGGTCTAACTGAAAAATGTCAACCACGTAGTGTAAAGTTATAGTTATCAACTACCTTTGTCCTTAAACTTATATCATAAATCAATAACTTTAATGGCTATGCAAACTTTCACAAAAAAATCCCATGACAAATTGAGACTACATACATACTAAAGAGAAGCTGAGTACATATGTCTGCATTCTAGCATTCTATATGCCAACACCCTCTCAATTACCTCATTCCCCGCCCAAAGTTTTGGAGCTGTGTAGAGAAAACTAGCCCAAATAGATAATCTAAAACCATAAGAACCATAATATAACAAAGCATGAACTTTAGTCAAAGATTCAATCTAAGGAAGCCCAAGCCCAAGCTCATTTTATGAATTCAGACAAATTAAATAAAAATTAGGATTAATTGTTGAAGGTAGGTGTGATTTAGTTCCATCTCATAGTTCAAAAGTCATAGTTCATACCTGAATAGCATCTCCAAGTTCAAACCTCGCCGATTTCAAATAGAAGAACACAAAACTAACTGAATCGATGAACTTTTATAGTGTGAATTAGGAATTATTATCCATTTTATCCAAATCATTTGTAACAAGAATTTTTGAATACTGGGCTTCTATAGAGTAAATTATGAATCATTATCCATTTTACCCAAATCATTTCTAAACAAGAATTTTTGAATACTACGCTGAGAATATTCTATACAAATTCATCTACATTCACCCACTGAAGATCGTTGGCATCAAACTTTCAATTTGATCATCAATTCAGAGGGAAAGGAGTGTATAACTATCTTTGGAGTCCAGAATACTAGTGCAAACCATGAATACCTACATCTCATCTACTGGCACGGTCTGCAATAGCATTTCCAAATGCTGACCCATCAAATCTAACTCTTAACAGATTATTCATTTTTCTAAAACCTTAACAGATCAAAACTTGCGCACTAGATGACTAACTTGTAGATTTAATTCAATAGAAACTTGAAATCATAAGAAAGGGGTTATACCGATGTAAAATGATGAGACCTCAGAGTCCAGAAATAGAGAAATCTCAACTGACAATCAAGTTCTCTTGCCAAGCTATTTGAGTTTCCTTTGTGGCAGTTGGACTAGCTTCGCCGTCACTTCCCGTGGTATGGCCTCGTCTTCGTTGTGGGTGGACTAGCGTCGACGTGACTTCCGGTGGTATGGCCTCGTCTTCCTTGTGGGTGGAATAGCGTCGCTGTCCAACCGGCATTGAGAGCCGGACAACCGATAATTCATTGTCGGGAGCCCTTCTAATTGCAGTAGTCAAGACGAACAGAAAGATAATATGGAGAAGACAGACTGATGCGATGACAGAGCTGAGGATAGGCAAGAAGATGACTGACAGAAGAATTAACGGTGGATTGCCGTAAAATGGTTCTAAAGAAATTATTAAAAACTCTAGGAGTATATAAGCAAATTAAAAGTAATTTGAGTTGATTCAAGTAATATATCATACGTGTAAATCATGTACACATGGCAAACATTTATTGGAAAGGTACTGTACCTTCAAATTTGTAGAGGTACCGAAGCACACACCTAGGGATGGCAATGGGGCGGGTTTGGGGCGGGGGTACACTCCCCCATCCCCCGCCCCATGTCTAAAAAGTTCCCCCCATCCCCGCCCCATCCCCCGTTACTCCCGGACCCGCCCCATCCCCGCCCCACCCCGTTGTCCCCCACGGGCGCCCACGGGTGTCCCCGTATAGATTTAATTTATCGTATTTGCATATACTTTTAATATCTTATTATAAATATGTGTAGTGCGATTTCAATGAGAACGATGTTTAACGTGGGAACACTCACATTTAATACAATGTGATACACAATATTCCAATGTGATACACAATAGAGTCATTCTAGTGCACATTTGGACTTTGCTCAATACAAGCTAATATAAATAATCGCGGTGACACTTTTGAAAAACTCATGCTAGATACGAAAAAGATCATTGTGCAAGCCCATTGTGTTTCACATTGAGTGTAAATGTGGTTTTTGCACGTTCTCACGTTAAGCGTTGTTCTGATTTGATCCTAAACATATATATATCTACGCGCACACAGTAATATATGATACATACACACGCAACACTGAAGTATTGTGTTTGTTAAAAGTTAATACTACCAATTTTAATAATTCTTCATTTTGAATAAGTTTTGTGAATTGAAGACAATTAAAGTAAAAATATAGGTAAACATATTATCATCATGTACGTTGTTTCAAAATTCTCAACACTTATTATACAATTAATTACATATTATATTACATATAAATGTGTGTGTATTTATTTTTCACTCTTAAAACTCATATAACATTTATGATAAATACTTTTAATCATTACTAGCTAGCTTATTATTATTCTAGTATGATATGTATTAATTCATTAAGCATGATTAAACCGTATACAATTATGTATGTCTATATGTATATGCGTTTGTTATATACTACATATAATTTAATTTAATATGTGTGTACATTATTTATATATATGTGGATATATATGTTTAAGTATATATTTATAACGGGGACGGGGCGGGGACGGGGCGGGTGTAGCAATACCCATTCCCGCCCCATATTTTAACGGCGTAAAAATATCTCACCCATCCCCGCCCCCCGCCCCGCCCCAAGCCCCGCCCCAACCTTCCCCCACGGGGCGGTTCCCCACGGGTCCCCGCCCCCATTGCCATCCTTACACACACCTAAATTTTATCCATATATTTATTTTTTTATTTGAAAGGTCATATGTGTTTTTGGTAAGTTTTTCTCCACAATGTCAGGATGGATGTTTAGATGTAGACATTGTGATTGAGACTCATGTGAAAATTTACTAAAATTATACTCCGTATAAAACTGTGGAAAGAAAGTGAGAGAAATGTGAATGATTAGGTTTCCTATGTCTTTTTTTTTTCAGGCCACATGTGCATCGTGCACATTAATTGTGGCAATATTAGAGATGCTCTTACAATTAGCTGAGTGAGTAATTAAAATTTTGTGCTTAAGAGTCAGACTCACTATTATTCCGTGCTTCGGGCCGAGCCGCCCAATAGAGCCAATGTTTCACGATTTTTTTTTAATGGGGAGTATGATGGAATCAAGCATGTCTCACTAAATTATTTGTACAACTACCGGTCAATCTATGTAATTTTCGACGTGATTTTCATAATGGGTCATCTGTGCTAAAATAGGGAGCTTTTGCGGCACCAAGATGTTATTGTTTTTGTTGGTTTTGTAGGGGTTAAGACTTGACATGTGGGGAGGATTGTTGATGGTATACAAAAATAAGATGGTGTGCAATTTTCCTTTTGACCAAGTAGTTGTCAAAATCTTAGCAGCGAATGGTGCCAGGAGCTTCGATCGATCTATCCCATGCGTCACTCATTCACTATCCACGTGTATATTTTTTTTCCAGATGGATGTTTAAAATAAGTTAGATTCTACGGTACCATACCTTTGTCCAAATGAACCAATAAGAATGTAGCAGTTGAATTATTTAAATCTAAATTAAAAATGATAACGTGATGTGGTCCAATCAAATGAATGGTAGGTACGGTACCCCATTTTTTAGGAGGGTACCGGAGTTGTCACCTAAAAATAATTTGGCATTCTACAAAAGTATGCAGGATTGCAGGAAGAACATATTCCCCTACTCACGTTACAATATACATAGTATTCCTTTATTTGACTTATTTCCATATTTGTGTGAAATAATGGGAAAGAGGTACTCCAATAGGAGTCCTGACAGATATATTTATAATAGAAGAGTTGCCAAAATACAAAGTATTCCTAAATAGATATTAGGAATATTCCTAAATATCTATTAGGTAGATTCCTAATTATATTAGCCTATTACACCCCCTCAAACTGTGCGGGAGATACAACGCGCAGGTTGTCTTTTAAAAAAATGAAATTGCAAACTAAAAAAAAACTCTTAGTAAATATATCCGTGAGTGGAAGATTAGAAGGCACATCTTTGACAATAAGATCTCCATGAGAATATATGTCTGCAGCAGCAAGCGGCGAACTCAACAGCGCGCTTGAAGCAAGCACCGTGGTCAGCGACGCAGAGAAGGTGGGCTGCGCGGACATAGGCAGCAGCAGGCGGCGAACTCAACGGCACGCTAGAAGCAAGCACCGTGTTCAGCGACGCGAAGGAGGTGATCTGCGCCATATTAGCCGCGCTCATCTTCAAAGGATCGGAGACTACCGTAAATGTGGCGGCAGTCGACCCCGAGGCGGCGGCTATAATAAGGTTCATGGGAACCGAAAAAAGAAAAAAATTGTATCTACAAACCTAGAGCTCTTGATACCATGTGAAATAATGGGAAAGAGGTACTCCAATAGGAGTCCTGACAGATATATTTATAATAGAAGAGTTGCCAAAATACAAAGTATTCCTAAATAGATATTAGGAATATTCCTAAATATCTATTAGGTAGATTCCTAATTATATTAGCCTATTAATTTGTGTTTGACACTAGTTTTTTATAATCTGCGCTTTTAAACTAGTTTTAATCCGTAGTAATACTTAGGGGTGGGATCGGGTCGGGTTGGGTCGGGTTTTTGCTAGGACCGTAAAAAACCCGAAAAGCTTCGGGTTCTACATTTTTGGGCCCGATCGGAGGACCAATACTTTCGGGTTGGTACGGGTTTTAAGAGCCTCGGGTTCGGGTTGGGTTCGGGTCGGGTCGGGTTGAATTCAAAAAAAAATTGAACTGATATATCTAAACACAATTAAAATACAATTACAACAAAAATTGCAAACATCTAAACTTTTAATCAAAAAAATATATGTTGTATATTCAAATCAAAGCATTATATTTTGAATATAAAAATCACATGATAGAAAATGTTGTAGAAGAACAATTGGTTCGAAAGCAAAGTAACATCCCCTCCGTCCCAAATTGATTTACAAACTCAAGATTTTTTGGTCAACCAATGTTAAAGTTAAATACTCCATATTGATACATCATTCAATTTTTAATAATTAAAATTTACATATTAACAAATTACATTAAAATATATTCAAAGTTGCAAACTCCAAGTTAAATATTATTAAAAATTGACATCCAAATTAAGTGAATAAAATAAAATTGTCTGACTAAAAAAGTCATTCTTGCTAATCAATTTGGGACGGATGTAGTATAAAATAGTCCGTACGTATCATATATATATATCGGTATGATGTATTAATAGGTCATACATATTTTATATAATATATATGTATATTTTAGTTTCTTGATTAAATCAGGTTTTTTCGGTCCGGGTCGGGCTTAAAATTTTAGAACCCGAATTAGGACCCGAGTTTTCGGGTTCGGGTCGGGTATTTTAACCCGGACCGGTCATTTTTAAAATAAAACCCGGACCAATATCATATATCGGGTTGGGTCGGTTCGGTTATCGGGTTTTGGGTCGGTTTTTCCCACCCCTAGTAATACTTAATTTTACCAAGCAGATACAATCGCTACCCTTATTCTTAAAATACTTCCTGATATGTCCCTCTTTGAAAATTGGTAAAAATAAAAATGAAGTTATTTCGACGAGGACCTGACCTTTTCCTTTTCATAAGGAAGATAAAAGTAACACGGAGTAACAATATACCACACCTGTTCTTTATTGTTTGAAAAACTTTTATTATTGTTTATTGTTTCAAGGAGTTTTCCTAGCTTTGTATATACGAAGTATTTACTTGACTTTTTTCGTAGGTAATATTGAGATCGGTTGAATCGACTCAATTTGTTAATTTCTGACTAAAACAGTTGAATCTGTTAAATTATTAAAAAATTATATTTAAAATATATTATTAATAGATTAAAGAAAAAAATATACGAACAAGTGAAAATGGTTCTCTAAACTAACTTTAATTTAGTCAATTCAACAGGAAAAGTAATTTAGCCTTGTTTATTTTTATAATTCCACAATTGAGCACACTAAATAAAAAATTACGGAGTACATGTTTAGTAAAAAAAGTTGATTGATATGACTGATAAAGTGAAATCAATACTTATCAAACCGACTCTTGTTTTGATTACATTACGAATGTATTAAGAGACCATATCATTGTAAATTTTGTTAAAGTTGTTTGGAGTATGGAATTAGTGGCAGAATTTTAGAAGATTATGGAATTAAAAGTTTATGTGTATTGAATATTGATTTTTCAAAGTCCATCAAAATTTGCTTTGGTAGGATTCGAAGCTAAACTCTACAAAGGTGATAGATTCTAAGTCTGGTTCGAGGGCGGACGGCAAATGATGAACGTTTTGTTGATTTAATATAATTGTTGATTTTATGATCTAAAAAAGAAGTCCATAAAAATCTAGTTGTATCAATTAAGATTTTAAAAAGTCAATAACAAATCCATCAAAATGGAAAATGGATCTTGCTATTCATATGCAGGCATATGGTGAAAAGTGAAAACCTATAACTTTGGTCTATAGATTTCAGTACGTAGTATGTACCGGACCTTTAAAATATATTTTATTAATCAAATAAAGAAAAATATATGAAAAATGGCTAAATTGATTCACTATATATAGTAACTTAAGATATTTCAGCTATAACAGTAACTTTATCTTACTTATTTTGATTCTAACACAATTCAATCAGGAAAGAAAAAATTGTAGACAAAAAAAGTTGACCCAAATGGCTAATAAGCTTAAACATAGGCATTACGGAACATACATGCTCTATGAAATTTATCATGTCCATATAAAAGTCTATGGATTTATTCTAATCCATAAAAATTATTCATTCAAAAGTCATTCCTTTTAAAAGTCTACAAACTTAAGTCTTTGGATTTAAATGTCAATGAATTAAAAGTTTATTAAATTAAAAGTCTGTGAACTTATTTAAAAATATACGGAAAAAAATGAATAATTCCAAATATATAACAAAAATAAAGTAGTGGATAAAAATGTGTCTTTAGTAATTTTAGAGACTATATGGTATTCAAATGTTACATCATATATAGTGACTTTAAGACTTACTCATGGTAACTTATAATCACATATTTGTTGATAGATTTTTAAAGGTAATATTTAAGGAAAAACCTCTAAAACAATATCCACCACAATTTAGATACAATACGCCCTATTAATTTCAACAAATTTTAAAATATGATTTTTATAACTTTTACTTAGAAACTGTTATTCACTGCGACCAAAATTTACATGTCTCATTTTTAGCTAATTATTTTAATCATGTTTTATCCTTACTTGATTAAAACTAGCCTACTTAAGTCATCCCAATATTGTGGGTATTTTATTACTTTGTAAATTCGTATTATGTGTTTGTTCTCTATTTTTAGCTAATTACTCCCTCCGTCCCGTTGGAATGTTCTCGTTCACTATTCATTGGTCAACTTAGATCACTCCTAATCTTTTACTTTATATATCAAATTTTTATCAAATCGAACTTTTCTTGATCAGGTTTTGTAGCGGTTTTAATGTAGTTTCTGAATATGTAAATTTTATTTACTAAAAATAAGCGGAGTGTGAACAGGGATCGAGTTGCTTTATCGTCAGTCAAGCATCGTAAATCAAACGGGAACATTCCAACGGGACGGAGGGGGTATTTTAATCACGTTTTATCCTTACTTTATATGTCTAAATTCAGCCCAATTTTTTTGGAAATAATTAAAAAACACTCCAAATAATCTTATTAAAAACCAATTAAAACTTTGTTTGATTACATTGAAATTGGCTTAATTAATTAAATATGCTCAAATTGATAAGTTTTGGTTGAATTAATTGAATTGATTGAGTCAACTGAATTACAGAAAAATTGTATTTAAAATATGGAGTGTATTTTATTAAAAACAACTCATGAAAAATTGGTAAAATGATGTTCTACAATAATTTAAGTCAATTCAGTCAGAAAAGTAACTTCAATCTTAGTTATTTTGATTATTACATAACCATGTGTGCAAAATCAAGAATTACATATTTGGTACAAGAAAATTTTGTTGGAAAAAGTGTTAATAAATTGCATTAAATGGTCATTTTGGGACAATATTTTGAGTGGGATCCACTTCCGGTTTGGGTCGGTTCAAAGTGATTTCGGATTGTCCTTGTTAAGGGCTACAATTCGATATATGGTACGCTCAAAACGAATAACGGGTGAATGAGAAAATGATTCTCGAAGTTCACTCGTTGAAATGGAAAAAACTAGGAAAAGATGAGTTTCTAATGTGGTTTTTTCCCACACCGGAAAACCCAAGGGAATTTGAACCCCTTATAAAGGGAAGCCTCTTCTAAGGAGTTAAGATTCTTAGGTGGAAAGGCTCTCTTAGCGCGCAGGGGGGTGCGAATCAAATCCCGAAAACGGAGAAGAAAAACTGTGAGTTGCGTGTGCGGGCGACCTGCGGGCATGAATGTCATCTGAAAATCTATCTTCTAAAGATACGATTAAATTTTGTTTCTTCCCGTTAGGATCCTATTTTTTTCTCCAGCTGACCCAATCAATGTCCAACGTTCATGTGTCTTAATTCAGCTCGAAATGGATTGTTTTTGGACGAATCAATGCCCAACGTTTGGGCCATTGATGTCCAATGTTTATATCCATTAAAATGTCATTAACACACTGCAAATTCACCCCTATAAATGGCTGGCAGGTGGTTTACAACAACACACAGTTCATGCACTTCATACACGTTTCTGCACCTCGAAAAACACCTCTAGCATTCTGAAAACCATCCTCTGTGTTCTTGCTTGTTCTCGTTCGCCAGAACAATTCGTTTGAGTGCTCAAACAGTTATTCGTAGTCATCGTATCTTGGGAAACGATCTTTGCAATGCTCCTAGCACCCTGGGAGGCAACACATACGTTTTAAGGACATCGTGCATAGCACGAGCTTTGGCTAAATTCTGCTTCATCTATTTTTTGTTTTTCTTTGTCATTTAAATTAATTTTAATTAATTAATTTTTCTTTGTTTTTGAAACATAGTCAACAAATTTCTATTTGTACCATAAATTTGTACGTAATTATCAGTGCACATAGACAATATATACATCTCTTAGTTGTCTATGTATAGAGCGCAACTCGCACAAGCAAACAGGAAATTACGTAGAAGTGTGTGTGAAATGTGTACAAATGTTGTGTACAACAAGAATGATTGTTAGGTCAAATATGGGTTAATGATCAGCTTATAGGTCTTAATAAACGGCTCTAAATATACTTCGTATGTAGTATGAAGTTAAAGTATTGGTTTGAAAGTTAATTAATTAAACTAAGATGGAAGAGACTCAGAGAGCAATAGGCCAGCTAAAGAAAACCATGATTCTGTTTAAACATTTTAATAATCACTTGCATAATTGTTGCCTGAATCCGAACTTGTCGTTCTTAAGATCATACTCCACGTAGAAATTCTGCATCTGGAAATTCCCCAGAATGATCGAAGGCCCGACCGCCGACCCATTAACGGCATCATCTGTCACCATAGTCAGGCAAACAGTGTCAGTCGCAACGATGGAGAAATAATTTGCCAAAGGCAGATCCATTTCTGCCCGTCCCTTAAAATGGAACTTCATCGCCGGCAGGTCCGCCGTCTTGTGGCCGGAGATATTGAAGCACGGCCTCAATCCGGTCACCTTCTCCAGTTCTCCGGCCCGGGGGTAGGTCTTCTTCACTTCTTTGACCAACGCGCCCTGCACTGCCTCAAACACGTCGTGGGTCAAGAACGTGAAACTTGACCCGGAATCCACAATCGTCCCTCCGTTTCCCCGTAAATCCGGCGAGATATGCTTGTGTGGGATCTTCACTTTTACCCCTCCGATGCTGATTTTCCTCAGATTGACGTAGTAGTACACGGACAGCGGATCTCTTCCGGCCACCTGAGGATTCTTCAGGAATGGTGTCCGGCTGAGATTTCCGGTCCTCTGTCCGGCGACGGAGCCGGTCTCCATCGCCAGCGAGCTGCTTTTCCCGGTGTCGTCGAATCTGTGCGGGACAAGACAGTAAGAAAATCTGGTGAGCCCCAATTGGGCCGGGAGGGAGGTTGGGCCGCGGCCGAACCCCGCGATCCCGGCCGGCTGCCGGGCCGAGAAAACAGAGCATCCCACCAGAAAGTTGGGAACTTTCTTTCCGGGTAAGGTGAGGGACTCAACAAGAGCAAGTCCTCCGGTGGATCCAGAGCCGTAGATGATGATGTAGGACGGGCAGATCTGGTTGCAGTTAGTGAACGGCGGCCGGCAGTCCTTACAGCGGCTCTCCGGCGTGGTCCTCAGGTGAATCAACCCACATTTGGGATTGGCGCATCCAAGAATCCTAGCAGAGGAAGAGGACTTTGGAAGAAAAGGAGTGACACCACCCTTTGGCATGCCTTTGAAATTGCAGTTTTTGCATTGGTAGGTTTGAGTGCAAGGGAACCAAACAAGGCTGCTTCCAGTGTCCATGATGAAGGGCTTGGTTTGGGGAGGAGTCCCAAAGCTGAGGGGGATAGAGTAACCTCCATAGCCTTGAGGATACAATGGGATTCTACTGTGGGAAGGGGAGGGCCTTTTTGAGGGATTCTTGATGTGTCTGGCTCTGGTTAGGGAAAGGGTGGCAAAATGAGTAAGTTTTTCTGTAAGGTCTGGGGTTGGGGTTGGGTGCAGAGATGAGAGGGATGAAAGGGGCAGAATGAATGTGTTTGAGGAAGAGGATGAAGCAGTTGATAGGAGTGGAAAGCTAACTGATAGAGAAGAGAGGAGAAAGGAGATGAGGAAACAGCTAAAAGATGCCATTGTGGTGTTTTAGGGGTTGTGTTTTGGTTGTGACATGACCCTTTAAATATATTTGTAAGATGGAAGCACAGTTGAGATTTATATAGGGATAGGGATCTATACTTTGTTATCAAGGAATGAAAAGTGAATGAAATGGCATACTGCATGAAAAAACTACAAGAGTTTTGAATTTTTGTCACTTTTAGTGGTTCAAAACATTGTTCCAATCCTACCTTTTGCTCTTTAACCATTATAAGAGGATCACTTTCACATTATTCTTTGAAAATCTCACTTTTATTCCTCTAGCCAGTGCAAAAGTAACACATTAGTCTTTCATTATTGGCATAATAATATTTTTTTCCTCTACCTATTTTGATACATTTATAATTTAAAGATTAAAAGTGAAAGTTTTTAGTGATAAGTACCATTAATGTCTTTGTCACAGCAGGTAAATGACTGATACTAAAGAAGTTTAAAATTAAATATCAACCGTCATTGACACAGTGGTCAAGCACTCTAGCTAGAAGAGATAAAAATTTAACTTGTTTCTTTTAAAAGAGAAATGAGACAATTCTTTGAAAGTAAAAACTTGAAAAAGCATTTTAAAAGCAATTGCAATGATTTTGATATGGAGGACTTACTTGCAATTTAAAGCAAAGAGCTATCTTTAAAGTAATGTTTTTCTTCAAAATTGCCCGTTTGGTAACATCAAAATTGGCTGAATTGGCTGATTCTGCTGAAATTTATAAAGTTTTTGTTGAAGTGATTGTATTGGCTGATTCATGAAAAAATTATATTTAAAACATTTTTTATTAATAATTTAATTAAAAAAATATATGAAAAAATAGCTAAAATGATCCTCTACAGTAACTTCAGCCAATACAACCAGAAAAGTAACTCTAATCTTATTTTTTCTGCTTATTACAAAATTCGGCGTGCGAAATCAAAAATTACGTGTTTGGTAAAAAAATTGGCTGATAAGTCAGATAAGTCAAATAAAAGGGTCACCAAACGGGCTCTAAGTAAATAAAAGAAATTAGCAGTTTCTAACATAGAGAGTTACCAAAAAGCCAAGTAACTCGACTGTAGGGATCCCGTAGTGGTTGCTAATCATAGGTACATTTTATTTGAAAATAATTTCACTAAAAAATTGATGTGGCAAATCAAACTATGAGGATAAGTTACAAATGAGTGATTGGGAAAAATGTTTTAAGAAGGAGTAAATCATAAATTACAGTACATTGAGGCCAAAACTTTTTGAGACAATTCAAATGGAATTGTGGCTAAATTTAAGGGTCAAAACAACATTCTGCATCACATTTTACGCAAACAGGATCAAGGACTCGTGGGGAACCAGAAATGACATGTTACCAAAGGCTTGACTTAAAATTTATATTAGAGTCCCTTAAAATTTCATTATATTTTTTTACTCACATTCGTAAGTAAGAATGTAAGGCCAGCCTCCCCCTCTCTCCACCTATGGAGATAATTTGTTCTTACTCACATTCGTAAATATTTTCTAAACATACAAAGTTTGGTAATAAAATATTAGAACAATGTTATTTGGGCCTCTCTAAAACAGATTTTTTTGGAAACTATACGCCAATGTCTCAGATACAAATAAATGTACGAAGGGTATATACAAAACAAATTTAGCTGCTCTCTGAAATTTTCAATAGGAGAGAGAGTGAGAGAGATAAAAGGGTGGTGGGGTACTCGGATCGGAAAAAATAGAAGTTCTGAATTTATGTTAGTGATTTGTAAAAGATAGATAGAGTGAAAAAGGGAAATGGTAAAAATATTAGTGATTTGTAAAAGATAGATAGAGTGAAAAAGGGAAATGGTAAGAAAGAAACGCCTCTCAATATGACTCTTAAAACATGTATATTAAGTTTGTTTCTAATTGAATTGATTTCAGTCCTATATTATAGTAGATTAAACCAACCTAACCACATGAGACTTCGACATTTGTAAAATAAACATAGAACATACACCTAGCAGATCAAGCAAGATCAGGTCAGATCAGATTAAAGAGACCGCACATGACTATATCAGAATTAAATAGATCATACGAAATCGGACCAATCTTTAATAGATCAAATGAGATCAAATCAAATTAGAGTACAAAATTTTCATCTAACTCAAAACTCCTTAATACAACGTTCTATCAAAACTTCACAAATTTGATATGTTTGAATTGGAGCTCAAATTCATTCACATTCTATCAAAACTTCACAAATTTGATATGAATTACATAATTTCAATTTTTAATAAATATACGGAGTATTGCTTTCTTATTTCCAAATTGTAGAAGAATGCATTTAATAACACAAAGTCTTTTGAGTAAATAAACCAAATGTCAACACAATGCAAGCTGGAGAAGGGAGACTTGCACTAAAACCTTTTTATTTTTTCTATATTGAGCGTACGGGGGCAAGTGGGCCATATCATTCATTAAAATCATACGAAACACAATCCTGCTACATGTACTTCTATTTTTTTAGTTTTTTACTATAGTATAAATTAGTGTCTTCGTCTTAATCTTGTTACTTATTGTTTATTCTTATTTTATTCAGATCAAATCAGATCAGATCAGAAAAATTCAGATCAGATCAGATCAGAAAGATTCAGATCAGATCAGATCAGATCAGAATCATTCAGATCAGATCAGAATAATTCAGATCAGATCAGAAACATTCAGATCAGATTAGAAACATTCAGATCAGATCAGGAGCATTCAGATCAGATCAGGAACATTCAGATCAGATCAGAAAAGTTCAGACATGATTTATCCCTTTTATTATAATAATAATTATAATAATATTAATTATTATTATTATTATTATTATTATTATTAATTTATTATTATTATTATTATTATTATTATTATTATTATTGTTGTTATTGTAATTATTATTATAATAATTATTATTATTACTATCATCATCATCATCATCATCATCATCACCACCACTAAGATTACTATGATTATTATTATTATGATATTTATTATTATCATGATTATTCTTATTCTTATTACTATTATGGTTGTTGTTGTTATTGTTATTAGTTTTTTTGTTATTATTATATTACACGGAGGAATTACAATTAAAATTATAGAAATAAATATTATAATTATAATTAAAATTCTAATTATAGAAATAATTATAACTAATAATATAATTACAATTATAATTATAGCTTTTTTTGTTTACTCCAGGAGGCGTCTGGGGGAGGGGGTCTGGGGGACTGAAGCAAACTAGGTTGAAACTCACCCCATTGAGTTTCGAACCCGAGACCTCCCATAAGGGAGAGTGAGTCGGCGACCAGCTGAGCTGAACCGCTTCCTCTAATTATAGCTATATTTATAACTACTGTAATACATATAATAATAATTACACCTATTATAATTATTATTATAATTATAATTATAAATTTTTTATAATTAGGATTATAATTACATTTAAATTATATATGTGTAATTACATTTCTAATTATAATAATTAAAATTAAATTTATAATTATAATTTTAGAAATATTTAAATTAGATTAGATCAGAAGGATTCAGATCAGATCAGGAACATTCAGATCAGATCAGGAACATTCAGATCAGATCAGAAAGATTCAGATCAGACCAGATCAGAAAGATTCAGATCAGATCAGATCAGAAAAATTCAGATTAGAACTTAAAAAATTCAGATCAGAAACATTCAGATCAGGTGAAGAGAACAGCTTCTTAGTTTTGATCATTTAATGTAAGAAAAATTGTAGGTGTACACAATGAGACATTTTTTGTGTACACACAATGTGTACACTTTTTGTATACACCCTCTAGTTGTTTGTGTACACAGACTACTCGTTAATAAAAAACAGCAATTGTCTCCTAATTATTTGTGTACACAGCCGTGTCCAATTTGTGTGCATATTTTGTGCAACCAAGAATGACCTTTTAATGTATATAGTGAGTCATTTTTCTAAATATTTCACATTTACCAAAAAATGAAGGATGCGAATGATAAAATAATGGGAGATTTACCCAAATAGGAGTAAAAAAATCCTTAATTGTTAAAATAGGAGCAAAGTTTAAAATTTCCCTAAATAGGAGTTATTATTTTTTGTTGGACAGAAATACCCTGAAGCATAGTAAACCCCACTGCAGCCACCAGAACGCCGGACCTACCGCCGCCAGTCGCCGGCCGGTCGCCGGCCACCGCCACCGCCAGTTTCTTGCCGGAGCACTGCCAGTCGCTGGATGCCGTCGTCGCTGCAAATATGACTTTGCCGCCGTAGATCTAACCAGATCTGGCCGCCGCCGGCCGCCGCTCCTACGGATCCCGCTGCCACCGCTACAGATCTGGCCACCACCACCGCTACTACCAACATTTTTATTCGAATGCCAACATGAATAAAAAATGACATCTTAATGGCATTTTCAATGGAAAAAATGGCATTTTTGAAGAGTAAAAATTCCATTTTTATGGCATTTTAAGAAATAACTTAAACACTTTTTCAAATCAAAGCAGATGAAGAAGAAGGTGTCGTTATTAAATGCATATGGACGATGGACATGAGAATCTCAAAATTTCAGGATCTCAAATGAGGGAGAAAGAGATAAACAGAAGAGAGCGGAGGAATTTAACGCAGAAGAAGGAAGAGACCGTGAAGAACAAGTCTCGATTTCAAAATCAGATCTGAAATCCCTGCTAGACGCCGCCGCTCACCGGTCACTCCTTCGCCGCTCGTCACCGCTCTCTCTTGCTCTCACCGCAGATCTCCATGAGCGTCCATCTCCTTAAGCCTGGTGCGGACAGTTCATTGTTGCAGGGGAAAGCCTCCATTTCAATTTTGCTTTCTGTCGAAGATGAAGAATGAAAAGCCTGGTGCGGACAGTTCATTGTTGCAGGGGATGAAAGGCTTGTGTGGATAGTTTTTTGTGAAAGCCTGGCCGCATGATTAAATTGCAAGGGGTAAAATTGTAACCATGGTCCTATTTGGGGAATAAAAAAATGCATACTCCCATTTAGGAATTTAAACATTAAGTTAGTCCTATTTAGGACAATAACTCTAAAATAATTTCTTTACTTTTTTATAAAGCACTACAGTGGCTTTACATATAATTTAAAATAAAATTATACATCTAATCAAGGTGTGATATTTTATTTTCACGTAAAGTGATTTTTATATGAGGCACTTCACGCCATCGACAATTTTCTAATGTAAATTTATTTTAATCTTGGATCAGATTAATACAAGCCAATT